TCGTCAAAGTCCGACAAAGATTAGCGATTCTTATACGACCACACTGTGATTCTAATTCTTCTAATGATATTATAATACCTTACCTCCGTGTATATGGTTATAAATTAAAACACTATCTTAAACAACTACGCTGGTTTGGTCGTCTGCGTGCGTATCTGGACGTTAATTTATTTACGGACCCGCCCAAACAGCTCGCTCTGATTCGATGAAAATAAAACAGCCGGAAAAAAGCCACAGCTCACTTTGATTCGATAAAAATAAATAATTAACACACCCGGAAGAGAGCGATAGCATAGGTTTGGCAAGGTCTGCGCCGCAGTGCTGCAGTGCACTGTGGGCGCAGACCCTGCGCTGTGTGAGTGTGGTGTGTATGCAAGTGTGCGAATGGTAGTTACGCTAATCTATATATATAAAATCGTGCATGTCTGTCTGTCTGTGTGTGTGTGGATTTCGGACCATACACACTTTCATTGGATGGCGGTTGCCCCTGGCAACGGCTAGCGACGCCTTCGCCGCTTTCATTGGACCTGGCAACGGCTAGCGACGCCTTCGCCAAGGGCTGCAGTTTCATTGGACGGCGGTTGCCCCTGCCAACGGCTAGCCACGCCTTCGCCACTTTCATAGGCTCCGTAAATAATTAAATAATAGCCATTACACAGTATTGTTCGAGCGCTGAGGGGGGGGGGGGGGAAGGCACGCCACCCGTACCCTGCCTCTGCCGGGTGGACAATTTTGGCGAGGCCGCAGGCTCTGCACGCTACTAGGCCTTGACACCCACCACGCCACTCTGAGGTAAATTCATCAAAGTTTTTCATACTCTTCACTCCACCCCCACCACAATGTGTGCAATTTATATTACTTTTAAACCCAACGCGCCAACAATCGATTACTTAAATGTTCACTGTACAAATAGTCATTAAGCTGGGTCAGCGTACTGCCAGTCTATCATGTAGACTGTAGCCTGCTTATTAAACTCGGTGAGCGTACTGCCACTCTATCATGTACACTCTAGCCTGCTTATGAAGCTGAGTGCGTGTACTGCCAGTCTATAATGTGGACTGTAGCCTGGTTATTATAATCGATTCTTTATATGTTCTTTGTACAAATAGTCAATAAGCTGGTTGAGCGACCCCAGTTCCATTCCAACTCACGCCCACCACCGCTCACGATTATTTGAAACGAACCGGGCCCTCCCTTAGGTCGACTCAGCCTCAAACGCGTAACTGCTGTCGTGTGTGAACATCGTCACTGGGGAGACAAAGGCGGCCGGCCATCGTGGATTATGTGTATGTCTGTGTGTCTCTATGTATGTGTGTATGTATGTGTGTGTATGTGTTTGTGTGTATGTGTGTGTGTATGTATGTCGGTTTTTTTTGTATGTCTTTATGTGTATGTCTGCGTGTCTGTATGTATGTGTGTATGTACGTGTGTGCATGTGTTTGTGTGCATGTATGTGTGTGTGTATGTATGTGTGTGTATGTGTTGCTGTGTATGTATGCGTGTGTATGTATGTGTGTTATGTGTGTGTTATGTGTGTCTGCATGTATGTGTGTGTGTATTGTGTATGTGTTTGTGTGTATGTATGTGTGTTTTTGTGTGTATGTGTTTTTCTCTGTGTATGTATGTGTGTATGTATGTGTGTGTATGTGTTTGTGTGTATGTCTGTGTTTGTATGTATGTGGGTTTTTTTGTATGTGTTTATGTCTATGTCTGTGTGTCTGTATGTATGTGTGTATGTACGTGTGTGTATGTGTTTGTGTGTATGTGTGTGTGTGTATGTATGTGTGTATGTGTTTCTGTGTATGTATGTGTGTGTATGTATGTGTGTTATGTGTGTCTCTGTGTGTCTGCATGTATGTCTGTGTGTATTGTGTATGTGTTTGTGTGTATGTATGTGTTTTTGTGTATGTGTATGTCTGTGTGTATGTATGTGTGTGTATGTGTGTGTATGTGTTTGTGTGTATGTGTGTGTATGTATGTGTGTGTATGTGTTTGTATGTGTTTGTGTGTTTACGCTCGCATTACACAAATGTGTTGCAGGTCTAAGGCGTTCCTCGCGCAGCATTGCCGCTTTATTATTGCAGTCGTTTACTGCCGTGCGCACCCTGAAAGTCGTGTGTGTCTGCAGCAAGCGCGTGTATGTGTACCTATGGACGCGCGCGCGTGTGTTGTGTAGGGGGAACGGTAGTGTAGTGCTTAGCGTGCTGTCTGTGTCTGTGTGTGTGTGTCTGTGTGTGTGTCTGTGTGTGTGTCTGTGTGTGGTGTGTGGGGAGCGGTAGTGTAGTGCTTAGCGTGCTGTCTGTGTGTCTGTGTGTGTGTGTCTGTCTGTGTCTGTCTGTGTGTGTCTGCGTGTGTCTGTGTGTGTGTCTGTGTGTGTGTCTGTGCGTGTGTGGTGTGTGAGGAGCGGTGGGTGTAGTGGTTAACGCTACGCTGCGCTACCAACCCGGCGAACCGAGTTCCATTCCCGCTCACGGCCACCACCGGTGACGATTATTTGAACCTCCCCTAGGTCGACTCAGCCTCAAACGAGTAACTGGTGTGGCGTATTAACATCGCCACTGGGGAGACAAAGGCGGCCGTGCGTGAGTGGTGAGGGAGGCAGAGTGGTGAGGGAGGGACTCTGCCTCAAAACGAGTAACTGGTGTGGCGTATTAACATCGCCACTGGGGAGACAAAGGCGGCCGGTCGTGGTGGATACAAGTCCCGGGCGAAGCCGGGTAGTACAGCTAGTATTACGTATATTTATGTAAAAAATGGGTGCTGCGTGCTGCGATTAGTGGAGTCCCCAAACAACTTTACCTTACGAGTAGGCAGGGGTCGCTATACAGCAAGTCTTAGCGGACTGAGCTGGCAGCTTCACCTGCCGGGACCACGGCCAGTTGCGTAGCGCACCCCTACAGTTTCGCCCATGGGTCATTACCCCCATGGGGCAACCCAGCTGACTGTTTGATGGGTACAAATGGTACTTTTTGGTTTATCCGGCTTATTACCATTATTATGTATTGACGTTCATCACGTCTCCATGGACGGCTTGCTGTCTACTTCGGTTGTGTAATTGAGATGTTGTGCATGCTGCTGCTGGTAAGGGCATATGTTGCATAATATGCAGCATGTGTCCACGTATCATGTTTGGCACGGATGCAGTTGGCGTTACTGTACATTTATGATGTTTTGGAGTGCCAATCTCATGCACTTTGAAATGTAATAAACTGTCAAAAAAGGTTGCAGCCCGCCCCCCACCGCTGTCACTCTCTGGCCGTTGCACAAGCCATATCGGAAATTGCGACATGCTAAAACAATGAGTACAGTGTGACACCACCCGGGTAACTCCCGGGATCAAAATGGGCATTGGAAAGTGATCGCTTTATTGAGATGATTATGGTACTATCACAGGGTATTGTGAACGGTTCAGGAGGAGGAGAGGTCTGGATTTGTAAGTCTCACAGTACCGGTAAGAAGGGCCGGGTGGGGGATGCCCTCCACTGGGGTACAAATTCTGTCATTATTAGTATACGATCATGCAATGTTTCTATCTGCAAGCTGTCAGAACTGGAACGATCCCCGTTATTGTTCGATTGAGAGTGACCCACACCTCTGATATCATATGTGAGGAACCCAAAAATCTGATGCATGCGTAAAACACCCACAATGGGAATACGTAAACGTAAAAACACCAACAAAATACATTTTAATATGAAAAAAAATAGGTGGCCCCATAACGAATTTGTCTGTGTGTGTACATACATACGGAGGATGCAGGGACTAACCTGTGTGCGATCGGAATGGTGCAATTTCTGACCAATGTCACTGTGGATGGCGCACACGCTGATGCACACCGGAGCTGTGTCTTTGCGATGCAAGGGCATGGTGGATGGTGGAGCGCATATGGATGGTGCGTTACGAATAAAATAAAACAAAACAAACCGCTGGAAGCAGCCATGCGAGCAGGCTACCTTGAGAGCGATCGCGAATGGGTTGCGTGTCTGGAAGAAGCCTCGCTCTTTCAGATGCCGTACCAGCTTCGTCAACTCTTCGCTACGATTCTGCTGTATTCCTTGCCAGCAGATACGAAGGCTCTCTGGGATAAATTCTACGACGAATTGGCTCGCGATTACGAGTACCAGTACCGCCAGCTGACCAACAAAGAAGAAATTGTAGATCTTCTTGGTTCTTTCGGTAAAGTCACGTAGAAGGGAAGTAATAAAATAATAAATATAAAACATAATAAAATAATTCTCACGACGTTTCGGCCACAATGCAAGCAGCCGTCCTCAGGTGAAAACCAGGTCTGTCGAGGCGACCGCGTCTGAATGAAACAGCACACGTGCTTGGAGCATATATATAAGCTGGGTTGGAAGGGGGGGAAGGGCGCCTTGACAAAATATTTGCATATCAAGAGGAATTTAGCATATTTATGGAAAATGTAGGTATGTAATTAGTACTACTTATGCCCGTGCATTATGCAGGATTAGCAGCATCAAAGGGAGAGGATATGGGAAATGCAGGTATGTGATTAGTACTATTTATGCCCGTGCATTATGCAGGATTAGCAGCATCAAAGGGAGGGGATATGGGAAATGCAGGTATGTGATTAGTACTACTTATACCCGTGCATTATGCAGGAGTAGCAGCATCAAAGAAAATAAAAGAAATGGTAAAGTTCAAGACCCTTCACAGCCTCCACGAGTTCCTCACGGCAGGTGGGATGGCTCTGTCGGACTTTGACGACCTCCCGCAGCTTTCCGAGTACCCACACTTGGTCTCGGACTCGCTGCTTGAGAACAACCATATCTGCCGCGAATTGGACACGAAGGACTTCCCATTTCGACTTCGGCGCAAACAGTTCCCCATAGTCCCAGCCTTGGCACTATCGCGAGTCACGGCAAGATCCAACATCAAGGCGCTTATTGAGGGACCTGACGACGAGGAGGAAGACGGAGTGTACACGAAGAATATCGTGTATCGCCAGATATTTCAATAAGTTGCATTCTATATTTGAATAACTTGCATTCTTTAATATTGTCGATTGAGCGTCTCATAAAAATGCATATAACCTCACAAAAATAAACATAAAACAATCACCAAAACATGTATATTGTGTCCAGCCACTTTCAACTCCCCACCAACCAAGTATATACACACCGCCCGCGAAGCGGGCGGCGACTACTAGTTACACAGTGACAACAGTTAATTTGCACATGCAGACTGTCAATTCTAAAGCTATATCCAGGTGCTATTTTGTCATCGTGTGCAGAGCACACAATCAATTACCAATCACCCACAGTTATTTTAATTATTGTAGTAATCAATTACTCTATCAGTAACAAATACCACAGTAATGCCGTAATGTTGTTGTAAGTACACCAACAAACTAGCAGAATATTATTTGCTTATTCACAATAATGGTGGTGGCGCTAACGTACGTTCGTTGAGGGCCGACGTGGAGTTACGCAGATTCACGCCATCGTCACATCTCCTTAAGACATTAAACCCATACCTCAACGATACAGATTAGTTATAATTCGAATTGAAGATACAATATATTCAGAAGCAACAGTGAGTTGATTCTAGATTTTTTTTTGCAGTGGAGGGAGCCCTCAAAATAACCACATCTCACCAGGAAAAAAGGGTACATCCCATAATTATAAATCCTAATTCGCATGCAGTAGGCTTCAAGTGACATCTTTGAACACTGAAACTGTAGATTACTATTCATTATCGTCAGACGTTTCCAAGTCACATGTAAATCAACAGGTGGTTACACCAATTGATTCTAGAAGCTCTCATCGAGATGCATAGTAATATCCGAGCAATTTTTTAACACATTTCATTTCGACATTTTCTAAATCCACTGCATAGCATTCTGCTTCTTAGCACAGTAGAACATTCTATTCTAAGAAGTATGTATATGGCAGAACCCTTTCCAGGGCGCTTTACAATGCAAGCCGACGGAGGTACACACGGGGTAAATGGAGTAACGAGTGGGGTAGAGCAGCTGTCAGTGAGGGAGGTGATGGAATGTATGGTGGGACAGGGGCTGGGAATGGAGCTGATGTTTCTGGTGTAGGTAAGTGAGAATAAGGTAGAATGTGATGGTGAGAGCGTCTGATATGTGCAACGTGGATGAGAGGCAGCGGGGTATGTAGCACATGCATGAAGTAGTAAAATGGGCATGGATGAGGGTAGGTGAAGGGTGGTAGGGGCAGAGTGTCTGATGCCAGATAGATGAGCTGAATGAGGAGCACCGCGTAGGGCTGGAGGAGAGATGGGGTTAGGTGTGCATAGAGAAAGCAAAACGTGGGTGCCTGGTCAGGAATTGAGGGTCATAGGAGAAAGAGGACTGTGGGTCTGGGAGTGGGACAGAGGCGAGAGAATAGGGGTGGGTGCAGTGGAATAGAAAAAAATATATGGAAAAAATAATGGAAGAAAGTAAGGGTGAGAGACTAATTTGGAGTGGGAGTGTGCTTCATTTCATTTGCTGCTTTTTTTTTATTATTGTATATGAAATCAGAGGCGGCGTCAACGAGTGCACTAATGAGGGACAAGGCGAGGATATTTGTATTGGTGTCCACGTTCATGCAGTCGCGATAGTTTATCATTGGGAAGACGAACTTCTCATCGCATTCTAAAGCTGAACATATTTCTTTCATCTGAAAAAAAGGAGAGATGTACATTTTGAATGAGATTGTATTCGTTTGTGACGGTTATAGGCATTGCAGACAATGAAGATTGAATTGCTTTGGGTGACATTTCAAACAGGTTATGATATTGATCCAATCATTATTATTTATTAGATCCAATACTTTTCGACATGAAATAACGTTTTAAACTGACCAAAATAGTTACCTAGTGCAACTCATTTCGCAAAGTGCACACATTTGTATGGAACAAAAGCAGGCAAAGTTGTTGTTAAATATGTGCTGGAAAGATCACGTTCACTTTGTCTTCAGTAAAGTGACGAAGTCCATTGGTATAATCAGAAATACGGATGGTTTGATCCATCAGGCTTGCTTCCTAACTCTACTACAGCATGATTTACCCATATCTCATCTACAGCAATATTGTCTTGGCCAGTACATATGCTTGCTACCTCCATACATTAAACATCATCCAAAATAAATTTGCAAGACTGGCCTCCTCCTTTAACTAATTGGCTCCATCTGCCCCTATGTTTAAGAAGCTCAATATCATGTCCATCTACAACATTAATATTTTCCAAATGTGTACCTATATCTATGAATACACGTACCTCTGAGACATCGTACCAAAACCCTTAAAAGTGTTCTTCCAGATGAATTACCAAATCCATGCGTACAACACGAGACACTCCAATAACCTTAGTCCTCCCCACTGCCGCACCACACACACAGAGTAAATTCTCTATCAGATACATACTCTGGAATTCTTATGTTCACATTGCAAAACTATCATCATCATCATCTTCCCTCAATAGCTTAGAGCATAGATTACAAGTCAGCCTGATGGGTCGCAAAACTACCCAGTAGTCACCTCCATATAGCCCAACTCTCATATACGCTCAAACACGTGAAGTACTCTTGAAGACGCTTGGACACCGTTGTAAGGCACACGTGTTTATTTACACAATGGTCGTACAGCACTAGAGGGGTGTATCGGCCCCCTCACCCGTATAACTGGGGATACACCTCTAGCTATCCTTCCTACCCCGAGTCCTCCACTAACGGGCTAGGGGAGGCTGTCTGGCCCGACACTGGTCAGTCGGGCTACGGTACCCGGAGTCCCAGAGTACTAACTCTGGTTCACGGGACCACGCCACTGGCTCCAGCCTGCGCTGCCCTGATAAGGGCGGCGTCCCAGGGGGAGTCCAGGGCCTATCTGGTCGGTCTTCCGTCTTCCCCTAATTACTCTAAGACTGAACCCCGAGCTCTCTGGCTCATCCCTTTTTATACCCCCCTAGAGGATCACAACCCCCCTCACGCCGTCCGGTGCGGACGTCGTTGCGGGCACCACCCCGTGTACTGGCGGAGTCCCCGCCCACTGTGTTTGTTATCCGTTAGCTCCTATGCAACCAGCCCTACACAAACAGCCCCTCTGTAACAGCCCTACATCACCCCCCCCTGTACAGCTCGCAGCCGTCCCGGCTGCAACAACTTCAATAAAGGTTAATTAACCCCTTGATCTCCGCGTGTGCCTCAAAAAACGTTTTTTAACGATAACATGAAGGGAACAACAACAACAACAACAACAAAACCCAACAAACCCTGAAGGGAACAATCCGACGCACCCCCCCCTGAATAAATACGAATTCCGTAAGAGCGACGTATATACAGGTTTAGCAGGGAACCCCTAGCACACACGCAACACAACACAATGTGGCAGGAGCTCCCCACCGACGCAGCACCCCGCAACCATACACAAGAGAAATAAGTCTTCTTTTAATGCATTATAAGAGTCTGCGCATTTTTGCGCGCGTCCTTGCTGCAGGCCCGTCACACGGGGCAACCCCGGATGGCGGACCGCCCGGTGGCAGCTGTTCATTCCGTAATGAGTCCGCGTTTGACGTCGCGAGACCCTCGGCATCCCCCGTAGCGGTGGGTGGGTGCGAGCCCGTCAATCCTGGTGCACCTGTGGGCGGGACAGCCGGCGACACGTCAGGCGAGGGCAGCAGAGACGGACCCTTTGAGTCGGCCAACCCCCCACATGTTTGGCCACGCGTGTGTGGAGTGGGGCCTCGCACCGCAACGAATGGTTTAAGTCTCGAGGGGTGCACAAACCACCGGCGCTTCCCCCATTTGATGCGAACACACTGAGGCCGCAGAACCTCGACCACCTCGACAGGACCCCTCCACGGCCGCCCCAGTTTAGAGGATGTCGCGAGTGGTACCTGGGGGCAGTGCAGCCATGCCCTGTCCCCCGGCTTCCACTGCAGCACGTGCGCGCGACCCAGTCTGAGGCGCTCATTTGCTTTCTGACGCTGTTCTGAATTTAGCATGGCAGCATCCCGTGCCTCAGTCAATTTAGCAAGGTTGAATTTAACATGGTCAATTAATTTAGTTTTTCCCAGCGGCGTGGGGATCTGCAGCTGCGCCCGAATGGGTGGGTCAGGATCGCGGCCATACATGAGGAAGAAGGGTGAAAATCCCGTTGCAGCATGGGGGGCCAATCTGTATGCCGCCAAGACCCCTTGGATTTTCAAGTCCCAATCGGTCTGTGAGTCCGAAACCTGCTGTGATAACATAGACGAGATGGTGCGATGCAGACGCTCGACCATCCCGTCAGTTTGCGGGTGATAGGGGGAAGTACGAATCTTTTTTGTTCCTAGGAGCTCACAAACCTGTTGGAGGAGTTTTCCGGAAAAATTTCTACCCTGGTCGGTCAGCAGCCGCTCCGGGGCACCTTTGTCCATGACATAGCCTTGGACAAAGGCGTCGACGATGGCTGCTGCCGACTGATTAGCCAGGGGCCAGGCCATAGGCCAGCGCGTAAAGTACTCGACCCCGGTTAACAAATATCTATTACCCCTAGGGGTGGCGGGGAATGGGCCCAGAATATCCAGCGCGACAAGTTCGTTTACTCTGGAGACCCTGATAGACTGCAAGGGCGGGTTTGATTCTCGTGCTGGTGGTTTTCGCTGTGCACACCGCGGGCATGAAGCCAACAGATCTGAGATATCCCTTGTCATGCCTTGCCAAAAGAAATCACGCTGGAGCAAGGCGATGGTCTTTTGGGTACCCAGGTGGAGGAGGCGCTCATGAGCAGCCCACACCACCCTACCCCGTAAGCCCGAAGGGACCACCAGCCGGTGTCGGTGGGATTTTCCGTCCCAGTGCATCAGCAACCCCGCGTGCATTTCCCATGCGTCGGCATCACCCGATCCCCGCCCCGCCTCCCCGGCGCGACGACGCAACGCGAGGAGGGAGGTATCCTCCATCTGGAGGCGCCCCCATTCCTGAATGTGCAAACCCAGCAGGGAATCTTTCCCTTGTTGTTCAATAGAATTTGGAACAACTGTCCCGCCGTCGGCGGCGGCCGCAAGGACCGGAACCGACACGTCCCCTGCTGGCTTGCAACGTCCCGACCCCAGGAGGCATGCACATTCCGAGGTGGTTGGCATGCACGACAGAGCGTCCGCGTTGGTGTGGCGAACGCCCTTACGGTATGTGGTGTCGAAATCAAAATCCTGGAGGATCTCCAACCATCGGGACAATTGTCCCGATGGCTGTTGAACTCGCAGGGCGTACTGCAGTGCCGCATGATCTGTGCGGACGGTGAAACGCCGACCGTACAGATATGGGCGATACTGTTGGATGAAATAGACAATTGCCAACAGTTCTCTGCGGGTGACACAATATCTTTGCTCTGCTTGAGACAACACCCGACTGCCGTACGCAACCACCCGTTCGACGCCGTCAACCACCTGGGAAAGCACGCCCCCAATACCCGTGTTGCTCGCATCGGTGTCGAGCAGAAACGGTTTTGAAAAATCGGGGTAGATCAAGGGAGGAGCTTTTACCAGGGCGTCCCAAAGGGAGCAAAAAGCAGCCTCCTCCTCTTGACCCCAGTGGAACCGAACCCCTTTTGATGTTAATGCGTGTAGGGGTTTGGCAATTGTTGCAAAGTCGGCGACGAACCGTCTGTAATATGACGCGAAGCCGACGAAACTCCTGACCTCTCCCACCGAGGTGGGAGTCGGCCAGGAGCTGACACACTGCGTTTTGGCGGGATCGGTAGCAATACCCGAGCGCCCTACGATGTGGCCCAAATAACGCACGGAATCGCGTAACAAATGACACTTTTGGGGCTTGAACTTCAAATTAGCAGCCCGCATCTTTAGGAAAACCGCCCGCAACCTCTGGAGATGTTCGTCAAAAGTTTTAGCGAAGACAATAACATCATCCAAATAAATCAGGCACGACTCCCATTGCAATCCAGCCAAAACCAATTCCATCAAACGTTGGAAGGTTGCCGGCGCTGAGTGTAAGCCCATCGGCAACCGGTTGAATTGGAACAGGCCGTGCGGTGTACGGAAAGCAGTTTTAGGTTTCGATTCATCATCCAGAGGAAGCTGCCAGAATCCCGAAAGTAAATCCAGCGTGGAGAAGAATCGCGCTCCCGCCAAGGCGTCCAGCGATTCGTCCATCCGTGGGAGCGGGTATGCGTCGGCAACCGAAATTTTGTTAAGGCGCCGAAAATCAACGCAAAACCGCAACGAGCCATCCTGCTTTTTAACCAGGATGATCGGCGCTCCCCAAGGGCTGGTAGAGGGAGAAATAATGTCGGCGGCTAACATGTCATCAACAGCCAATTTGACATGGTCCTTTTCGGCGGGACTCAACCGAAACGGATTTTGGCGAATTGGAGCGCTGTTACCCGTGTCAATATGGTGACGCAGCAGATGAGTACAACCCAAATCGTATTTATTCCGACTAAAAACGTCGGAAAATTCCTGCAGTAGCGATCTAAGCTGTTGGCGCTCTGAATTTGACAGGTCCGTCGATCCCGCACAAAGCGCGTCGAGCCACCCGTCATCGCTGTCCGAATGTGGGTGCAGTCGGGCGGCGGTGCCGACATGATTCGCAACCGGTTCCTCGCAGGGCATCGGCGTCGCGTGCGCAAGCACCGTCCCTCGAGGAACTACAACAGTTTGCGATCCCACATTGAGGACCGCGAT